ATAAAAAATGAGTTGATAAATGTCATTTGAGTCCTGATGCCCTGTCATACATTCAAAGCCAGTAAAACTCACACCATTCTGCATCTATCAATGTTAAACCTGAGGGGGGAGGGGGGGCCACGCATTTTGCAAGGCATTTGACTTCTATTGCATTTAATAGGCCAATTCCGATATATTGAACTTCTAACTTGGCTACGAGCCTCAGGGGGATAAAACAAAAGAGATTAATTATTCATCTCTCATCCTCGATGCGATTTCTTTTCTTTTATTCCCCTAAGCCTCGAAGCCAAGTTAGAATTTTAATATATCGGAATTGGCCTATTCCCCACCCTTGGGTATTTTTACTAGGAGTCTGGGCTCCAGGATGAGTAACTCTATAACAGACCATTTTCGATATATTAAAATGCTAACTAATGTCGGCAAGTGTTTTAGCGGCAACACATATTTCACTATCCTCGAAACATCACACACGGCAAAGAAACGCCAGCACCAGCGCCTGTAGGAAGATGATTTCTTCAGCATCTCCGAACGTTTAATCCACGTCAAAGAAAAAGCACAGGAGTTACTTCTTGTGAATTTATTACTTGGAGCATTCCCTCCAACTTATTACTTTTCAAAAGTCTTCTTTTTTTCATCTGGCCTCAAATGTACCGAAGGATGCTACCGGTTTCAACGTTTCATCTGTTCGCGTGTTTGAAAAAACGGGCCGGACGGTGACGATATCGTGTGCTGTGTGCGGGCTGGATTCCAACATGTTTCTTCAACATTTGTTTCTTCAACATTTTTAAACACTTCCGTTGCTATCGTCCACGCAAAAGTTACAGGGACTCGTTTTCAAAACTAGCCACCTTGGGAAAATGGTTTTTAAATCCTTCCGTTTTAGATCATTAACGTGTGGAACGTAAATTTGCCATTTTCATCTTGGGAGGTAATAAAAAGATTTATTTATACTTTTAAATGAGTCAAGCTGTTGCGATTTGGTGAAACGTATATCTTTTTCATATTTTTTAAGAAAAAATCACGTTACTTACAAAAAGATATGAAAGGAAAATACTGTAGAACAGTGTGTTGCCCTCTGCATAAAACGAAAGACTCTGGAGCTGAATCCTTAGTACTGTCAAGAAAGTTTGAACAAGACTTTTGGTAGAAAATCTGTAGAAATGTTAGACTGCGTGGCATTGAAGATACGGTAATTTTACGGTGAGAAGACTGGGTTTTTAGTTGTTGCCACGATTAGCATTTCACAAAATGAAAGTGCGAGCAGCTGCTTCTTCTGGTTTTGCCAGTAAATAGAGTTATTGTGGTATTGCTGCAGCTATTTGGTTATTACTGCTTCACATAAAACAGTTTTCTATCGATTCAACGCAACTTGATTTGCTTTTAAATTTTATCTCACGGTTTTAAACTTCCTTAAAAGCTTCTTGTTTTTCTGTATATTAGGTGCCCAGCAGCTAACAGCAGAGTGCTGGTGCTACCATATTTGGTGATTGACTTTCCTCAGTCCTATAAGACTGGGCCACGATTAACGTGCGTGGAAAACTATAGTATGAAGCAAGCAAACCCATTCCGTCCATTCTTGTCAGTGAAATAAAAGCAGATCGAGAGGTAGAAATATCTCGGAAACATACGTGCGTGGGATTTTCGTTTTTTTTGACTCAAAGCCCCTAGATCGAGTAATTACTTCCCAAAATTTGAACTAATAGGCTAGCAATGGGAAAAATCTTCTCCGGTAGCAATCAGGCTGGAATACCACACAGTATTTCTGTGGCACACAACTTTGAATATTACGTTAAACTACAAAGAATAAGAAAAAAAGAAATACGTGTTTATTTCATATTGAAATAGTGTACAAAAATAGCAACTAACTTTCAGATATTAGAAAATATCAAAATTTAAAAAGTATCCCTGTATAGTATGGGAGATCGCAAATTACTAGTTTGTTCCGAGACATACTCTCCGTTCTATGTTTGAACATATCAAGTACTGGGGCTTCCCAACAGAGATGGACTCCGATTCTTGCGTATTTTCCCCCTTTTTTCGGGGGGGG